CCCCCCCCCCCGGTAGCGACATCCCTGACTGGCCCCCACCCATTTCAACCCATCAACATACAGCAGTTCCCTGTATTTTCCTTTTTTAAGAATTATCAATAATGGAGATATTATGGCCAAATTTGTCATGCATCAGTGATCACATAGTTTTATACTATCATATTTTTTTCTTGAATAAAAAAGCAACGTTTATGCAGCTTTTTGACTTACTTGTGAAATGACAACGTAGTTCCGTCACTTCTTCTTCAACGTAGTTCCGTCCTATTCGTTCAGTCGTACGCCGCACACGAATTCGGCATTTTACGCAAATAAGAAAATAACTTTGCCCCTTGTAATAATGAAACTAATTAATGGCAAAGGCGTTCTGAAAAGAACAGGTTTTTTCCTTGCAAAATAAGCTCTAAACAGCAGTGCAGATCATGTGCTGGACTTTTGAAAGTTCCCACGTTTTTTCACACTACCTGGGGAATAGGTTCCAGCATTTATTAGACTTTTTGTTGAAATTTGACATGGTAAAAAAGATTATGAAAAACATGAAAAAATTAATTAAAAAAATGAACACACAGTACGCAGGGAATTTCAGTATTAATAGAAGATCTAATGCTTCATTTTCTAACAGGGCTGCCCAGAGGGAGGCAGAGGGCAGTTCCCCAAAAAGCTCTGGGCAGCTCTGTCTTTTAACTCATTAACTGGCAATGCGCCCGTATGTGCCCTGAGATTGGCAAGTGGGTAACTGGCAATGCGCCTGCATATGCCCACAAATGACACCTCAACTTGTGGGCATGATATTTGAGCATGTGTTTATCGGGTTGCCTAGCAACGGATACGAAAATAGAACGCGAAATTCGAGCTTTTCAACGGTGTATCATGCAAGAAAATCGGTTGGAAACTCGCAAAGTTTTTCAAGTTTAAAACCTTAGTTTTTCAAAAATAATGAATAATGGCGATACTGTTGCAAAGAAGGATTTCACAGCAAGTTTTAAAAGCAAAAATGAAGAGGTTTTTGAATGATCTAAAACGAAAATTTGGCATGAAAGGAAAGCGAATGTATTAACGTTTTGGGCCAAGTTCTTCTGTGAACCATGCGCGAGATTTTCAGCCAAAAAGATGAGGATATCTCCAAACTTTATTGAAAATAGAAGTCCGGAAATCACAAGAAAGATGAACACAGAACTCAAGTGAGCAGATACGATTTTTTAAAGGGTATTTTTGAGTAAAAATATGCGAACAAACACTCACAAAATTCAACCGCATTAATGTTGGTTGAATCTAGTTTAAAGTTATCTTTTTAGACAAACTGTTTATGCAAATTCCCTTACGAAAAAAGTCTATAGGTGGCCTACAGGTTCCTATAGAAATTGTTCCAATTCCCTATAGAAGCCTTTAGGCACCTATAGAGCTCTGTAGACTTATAGGCATCCCTATAAGTCACCTATAGAAAATGTTCCAATTGCCTATAAAAACCTATAGGTTTCCTCTTGAAACCTATAGGTTTGGCCTATAGGCCAGGCCTATAGACTTTTTTGTTAGGGTTTGGGCGCAATTTAGACTGTTTTCGTGACCCCATTGTTGGTCTTCTTGTTCAAGTTGTTATTTTAGCTAAATTATGTTTCAAACGACACCAGGTTAAACTTTACTGTGTGCATATGTGACCTTTTTGGCAAGAATACTTCGAGTATTAAATTACACTAAATAAGTAAGATATTCCAAAATCACTGTTATCTATTTTCATCAATTTAGTCTTAAAATGACAACTCGTTTCAGACATATTGTGGTTTAAAATAAGTGTATTGAATAAACATGCTTGCTTGCAGCGTGCAAATTCTCAAAAAGTCCGCACTTGAGTTGTAAAGCTTTCAAAATGCTTTTTTACTGTTTTTTGTATCCCCTATAAAACTTTAAATCGATAAAGCAGATAATAATGTTGATGCAACATCATTTTCAAGTAACTACACGTTGAATCAGAAGGAAAAGTTATCAAAATAGGTCACGACGGTTGTTTGCAAAATGTCGCTTCTCTCTGAAAATGGCTTCCTTTGCAGGAAGCCATGAAATTGAAGTCCTAACAAAAACTAACTTAGCAGTTCTTTTGGGCCCACTGCTCACTTATTTATCATGAAATCGCTTCACTAGAACATTTTTAATAATGTCTATGGGAAACTAATGTTTATAGCAGCCTACATTGGCACACAAAATAATTTTGGCTAAAAACTGTTGCTTTCCCAATAGAAACATGAGAATATTGAGCTAAAAGTCTTACCTGATGTATGTTTAAAATGTTTTTCTCTTTATGTGCTTTTCAGTGCTTTGAGTACAGAAGTGAATAGCTTTTAGTTTTGTCACCGCAAAGTGCCTTTCAAAATGTCCACTGTCATTGTCTGTGTTAAAAACACCTCAGAAAATTCCTATTTTCTCACCTTCCCATCCTTGGTTTATATTAAAATAAATAAATTTAAACACTATGTGTCCTTTTAAATATATTTGAAGTAATAAAAAAACTTTAAAGATGTACAAACACTGTGTTTTGGCTTGCACACTTTGTTGAACTTGAACACTTAGTTACTGTTCTAAATTTCATGTTGTTTAAACAAGATGCCCCCAAAAAGCAAAGTAAATTTTAAATTTTTTGATAATTTCCTAATTCATATCCCAAAAGATGAAAATTGGTTGTAATATAGATATGTATTAATTTAGTAAATGAATTTTTTTTTGGTTTTTATATAAATTTATGGAGATATTGCCCCTTTAGGTGATGAGTGACATGAAAAACAAAGTGTCACTGCTTTATAAATAAAAATACTGACTGACAAAACTAATGATATATATATAGGTATGCAAGGTCATCTAAACTAAATTTGGTCAATCATATATCACTCACGCACGTTTGGTTGAAAAGATTAGACTTTTTTATGCAATTGTTTCTGAGATATTGCCATTTTGGTGAAAGCTTGGAATTCAATCATGAATTCGTCATATTGCTTGCCACTTTAGGGGGTGGTAACATTGTAACAGCTTGCCAGTTAATGAGTTAATACTTGAACATTAACTCATTCAAAAATAGTTAAATATTCTATAGCATTTTAGTGAAAATATAATACGATTATTGTGAAACAATTGTTAATTAAGGACTGCTACCAGTATGTCATTGCCATGGTCAGAAAGGGGCTGCTCATTACATAGGTATATGAAACAAATCCAAACAACAAGGCTGCCACTATGAAATTTTAGTTGACGATGAAAACAGGCTTTTAGTATATAATTTTTTTGTTTACATTGACTGATCTTTGATAAATTGTGAAGGTAAATATATATAGATTTATACCATCAAAATCTCAAACGAAAATATCTGAAGAAACAAACAAAATAATCAAAATATGTCCTCGACGAAAAACAAGAGTCCTGATCTCTCGTTTATGAGATATCAATTCGACGAATTTAAAAATACCAAGGCTCGCGAAGTCCCTTTCGAGGAAGTGGATTATTCAATCTACAAAGCATCGTCAAATTGCATAGCATTTAAAACCTCGGAGAAAAGAATCGGAACGTGGATCAAAACATTTTATTACCGATATCACGCTGCCAACTCTGAAATATTTCAACAGGACGACGAAGATTCAAATAATATCGCTAGATCACTGATAACATCATGGGAAGAACAGGCTGCTTATAATGACAACACTAAATGTGAGAAGATAACTCTGAGCCTAGCAATTCAAGATAAAAACCAGCAAGAAAACATTGCTACCATAATAATATATTGCAGCACAGGAAGAATCCAAATTCAAGGCCGCTTACTTCATGAGTGGGGTGATAAAGAATTTCCGATATTGAAAGATCTTGTCGACAGAAACCCAGAAGAATCCAGCACATTAACAAAAGAGTTGGAAAATTTTCTGAAATCATGTCTGAATAAATCCCAACCAACAACAGAGGAGAGTTCCATCCCTACTTTTACCCCTGCTAAAACTGTATCAGAATCCTCGCCAGAACCTCAAACAAACCAAAATCCAGCTCGTGAATCAATTTCAACTATCAAAAACAATACGGCAAACCTGGAATTAAACTTTGTGGCATTCCAACAAGAAGTTATTAAATCTTTTGAAGATTTGAAAAATGAAAAGAAGGAAAAAGACAAGGAATTAGAACAGCTGAAGAAAAGAATTTCATCGCTGGAAGCATCAAATGAACTTTTGTTAAAGGAAAACACAAATCTTGTTGCCATCCTGAAAAAACAAACGACCATTGAGAAGAAACTCAAAAATATTACTACCCAACTAGAAGAAAACCATGGAAAAAACACCAAACAACATGATAGCGAATCCTCTAGTATGATTGATGCAAGTAAAAATACTGAAAAAATGAGAAATACAGAGCTACACCCCCAGACTGACCCTGACCTACCATCAACTGAAGATACAAACACCCCAGCCACATTCTACACCCCAGTTGACACAAGGAACCCATTCTTAATTCTTGAAGACGAAAAAACAGAGCCGAGACTTGATAATGATAAAATTCAAAGAGTTAATAAAGAAGAAGCAACTTCGACAAATAAAATAATTACAGAAAGCACCATCATCCTATGTGATTCCAATGGGCACAAATTAGATACTAAATTACTCTGCCCAGATACATCTTCAGCTTACATCAGATGTCCAACAATCGAAAGTGCTGAAAATATCCTGAAACAACATGACCTTAAAAATCCAAAAACAATTATTCTACATTCAGGTACAAATGATATTGAAAAACGTTCAGTTGAAAGCATTTGTAAAGACACTCATTCACTTCTCTCCTTCATCAAATCGAAACACCCACATACCCGGATAATTCTCTCAAGCCTACTACCTCGTAACGACTATCTTCTTGAAAAAGCACAAAAACTTAACGAACAGCTAATCAAAATCTCCTCCGAATTCACCAACACTAACCTTGTGAAACATGATAACCTTTTCAGGTCTACTGCCATCCTTTACGACAAGAAACACCTCAACAGCAAAGGTGTGAAGATATTCGCAAAAAACCTGAAAGGTGCTTATTTTGGTACAACAAAGAAATACCAACCCACCAACAGATCATCCCACCAACAACCCTCAACAATGTATCATCCAGCCAAGAAAACAACCTTCCCTCCCTTTCATCAACCATATCCTATCACCCCAACACTTCCACACTTCCAACATCCTTCGTCCCATCCAGCAGTCAGAACAAATGGCAATGCAAACCAATGGAATAGTTTAGTCAATTATAACATTCCAGAAAAGTTGACCGAGCTGGTAACCGTCCTTCAAAGGTTCCTTCAATAAAGTGAAATGGTCTGTGAGTATCCAAAACTGACTAACTCAATTATATTTTAACTTTCTATTAATATTATTTAGTATAATGTACTCACATGTAGGGTAATATAAGCCCATATGTGTGCACATACCTAAAGCTTTCCTCTTCCTTATTACTCTAAAAATCAATTTATCCCAGATCAGTCAATGTTTTCAAAATTTATTTCTACAATATTAAATTGAGTATTAATGCATTCTAGGCTCTCTATTAGTGCTTGGAATATACATGGTTTAAAACATAAAACGCTTGGTGACAAACTAAGCAACATTGATTTTATAGAAAATGTTAAAGACCTTGATTTAATATTTCTGACTGAAACATGGTCTAACGAGATTAACAGCATTCCTGGTTTCGTGACATTATCCACCATCACGGCAACCCGGAAATCAAATTCGGCTTGTCGCTTGTCTGGCGGAATTTCACTTTTATTCAAAAAGGAATTTGAAAATGCTATCTTTATTGAAAAACAAACAAAAAATTTCCTATGGTGTCGAATAGACAATACAATCTTAAACTCCACAAAAGATTTATTTATTTGTGGAGTCTACATTCCTCCAGAAAGATCATCCTACTTTGATGAGGATATATTTCATAACCTAGAAAATGATGTGGTATATTTTTCCAAAAAAGGAAACGTTATGCTGCTAGGGGACTTTAATGCTCGTACCAGCAAACTCGAAGATTTTGTTTCAAAGGAAGGAAACACTTTCATTAATGACATTACTGAAACCTCCTTTGAACCAAAAACTAGAGACAATTTTGATAGCTGTGTTAATAACCACGGTAAAAGTTTAATTGAGATTTGCAAAAACTGTAATCTGAGAATTTTAAATGGTAGGACTCTTGGTGATTCATTTGGAAAACCCACGTTTCATAATAAAAATGGAACTAGTGTGGTCGACTACATAATTTGTGACCAAGAGCTAACTCAAACAATCAAAAACTTTGTTGTTAAACCGCCAACATACTTATCTGACCATAGTCAAATAGTGACATGGATCAACAAAACATCACCTCAAAATTCTACCAACCACACAACTCCATCATCTAAAGTATATAGACTCCCACTCCAATTCGTTTGGGACAATGACGCAATGAATTCGTTTACTGCATGTCTAAAATCACCTCAATCTCAACAAAAACTTGAGAGACTAATCAACCACCATATTCCTACTTCAAAAGATGGAGTAAACACATTAGCTTCCGAAATGGAAGAGATAATTCTACATGCTGCAAGGAAATCTTTAAAAATTAAAAAGACAAAATTTAGAAATAAAATTAACAATGTCTGTAACAAGAAATGGTTTGACAAAGAATGTCGACTAACAAGACATTCAGTTAGAAAACTGGCAAATCAAAAACACCGCAACCCGCTCAATGTTGAAATAAGAAACGAATACCATATTGCCCTTAAGATTTACAAAAACACGCTAAATCGTAAGAAAGAAATCTTTCATAAAAAGAAATTAGAAGAACTAGAAACAATTTCTGAAAATGAACCAAACTCCTTCTGGAAATTACTTAAGAATATGAGTGATGAGCTTGAAGACCTTTCTACATGTGAGCCTGATGTTACTACTAACAGCTGGCTCACTCATTTTGAATCTCTGCATGCGAAACATACGATGCTAGGCACTGAACAACAACACACACTAAATCAATTAGAAAAACTAGAAGAGGAGATTGCAAACAAATTTCTCGATGAAGCAATCTCAGAAAACGAAATCATTAATGCTGCAAGGAAATTAAAAAACAACAAATCCGCTTATTCTGATAAGATAAGAAATGAAATGCTTAAATCCAGTGCGAGAATACTGCTCAAAGGATACCAAAAACTCTTTAACCTAATTCTAGAAAGTGGAAAATTTCCAGACCAATGGTGCGAAGGACTGATCACGCCAATTTTTAAGTCTGGTGAAAAAAGTAACCCCAATAACTACAGAGGGATTTGCGTGACAAGCTGTCTGAGCAAGTTCCTCTGTATCGTTCTAAATGAACGATTAAGTAAATTTAGTCTTGAACAAAACTTAATACATCCATCGCAAATTGGGTTTCAATCAGGTCATAGAACTGCGGACCATATTTTTACTTTGAAAACATTAATTGACAAACATATTAAACAGAACAAAAATGACAAAATCTATGCATGTTTCGTAGATTTCAAAAAAGCTTTTGACTCGGTTTGGCACGAAGGTTTATTTTTTAAATTACTAGAAAACAAAATTGATGGTCAATTTTATAATCTTATTAAAAGTCTTTACTCAAATTCAAAATGCGCTGTTAAACAAAGCAAAACAAGAACTGATTTTTTCAACTACTCCAAAGGTGTACGACAGGGATGTATACTGAGTCCTCTTCTTTTCAACATTTATATAAACGAGTTAGCTACTTTGTTTGACAACACAAGCTCTGATCCATTTATACTTCCAAATGGAACAAAACTGAGCTGTCTTTTATATGCTGATGACCTAATCATACTATCTAGATCAAGGTTCGGTCTCCAGAAATGTCTGGATGACCTCCACAGCTGGAGTAATAAATGGCTTATGGAGGTGAATTTAAAGAAAACACAAGTTATGATATTTGAGAAAACAAATTCTAAAAAAGCGAAACCAATTTTTAATCTCGGAAAGAAAGATATAACTGTTGGAAAAGAATACTGTTATTTAGGCATTAAGATGAATAACAATGGTAATTTCACTTTAGCTCTTAAACAGTTGAGCGAAAAAGCCCTCCACGCACTATACAGTATGAGAAGACGACTCAATATACACCATCTTAACCCAAAATCTGCTATTAAAATTTTCGATCGAATTATAAGCCCCATCCTTCTTTACAACTCTGAAGTATGGGGTGCATATGTAAAAAACTATTTTAACAATTGGGACAAGTTACCTATTGAAAAAGTCCATCTTAGATTCTGCAAACTATATCTAGGTGTTGGTAAAAAAGCTAGCAATATCGCCTCAAGAGGTGAACTTGGAAAATTCCCTCTAATTATTAATATCTTCAAAAGACTTTTCAAGTACATCACTCATTTGAACTCTTTATCGGAAACAGCAATTGCCAAACAAGCTTTCCTAATCTCAAAAGATTTGTTTACTAAACAGAACACTTCTTATTATGGAAAAGCAATGGATATTTTGAAAGCATTTAACCTCAACACAGAAATCACTGACTTGGAATCAATCACAACTGAACTTATTCAACCTATTACCAAACGTCTTAAAGAAAATTACCTCACATTTTGGAAACACAAACTTGAAAATTCCTCGAAACTAACCTTTTATTCAACCATCAAGATAGATTACGAAGTAGAAAAGTACTTATCTATAATAAAAAACTCAAACAAAAGGAAAACCTTAACACGATTCAGATTAAGTAACCATAGCCTTCAGATTGAAACTGGTAGGTACCATAATATAGCCCGAGAAGAACGACTGTGTAACCTCTGTCACTCGGGAGAAGTCGAAAATGAATCTCACCTCCTCCTCACTTGCGAGGCTTACGGTGACACTCGAGTAAACTTTATAAACAGTCTAAAAAACGATCTCACTACTACTGAGACAAAATTAAACGAACCAACTTTATCAGTTGACATAATGAAGTCAACTGCTAGTAACACCATCCTGAAATTATCGAAATTTATTTTTTCGTGTTTTGAGGAAAGACTTAAACAACTTGAAGCCGGGAATGCTGGTAGTCATTAGTTAAACTTTCCATCCTGTAAATAGTATCTTCTTATAGTCTACTTCTTAAATATTTTCATATGTTACATTGTTACATTGTTACGTTATAGTTAAGCTTTAGCAATACCTGTAAAATATGGTCATGCTAATAAAGCGATTATCAATAGGTGCACCCCCAGTAAATCCATCCCAGCATACAGTTGGGTTTATAGGGGGAGGGGACGGGGTTGACAGAGGTACACTCCTGGCCAACAGGGGAGTGTAAAAATCGAAAGGGGGGGGGGCGCTACAAATTGAATTTCCCATACCTCTGAGCATTTGAGATATTGTACAGTATATAATTAGTATTACAAATATATTGTCGCCATGTAACCTTAGGTATTTCATGTGGTATGTGTAATTGGGGTTAGTACCCTAAGTATCTTACTCCTCAAGCAATGCCGGGTTCAGAGTCCTCACCTGTTCGCCTAGCATGCCCCCAAAACAACCTGAGTGGCTGAATCTATCATTGCTAAAAAGATTATGATTATAATCAACAATATACAATTTTAATGCAAAATTGTGTGCCAACATACAAAATGGACTCTGCACAGGTTGTGCACTGAGTACCTTTTCATTTCATACTGGGTGAACATTATCGTGAGGATAGCAAAAAAAACAAATTCACAACTAATGTGTCCTCTTTTACTACTTTCCTAATTGTCTTGTTTCATGAACTAAATAAGCTAACACACTTAGTAGCTCATGCTTTAACCTTTTAACCGGCACAAGCAAGGGCCGGCCCATTTTTCTTTAAAGTGATGTCAGGTGTGCAAGTTATTCAATAGGGTATTTATAACCTTGTATACATGAGGGCCTTATATCTGGGCAGGATGTTACAAGGTCATCGGAAGTAAATCAATATTGGGGGGACTCAAGAATATATCTGAACAAATTTTAATTGATTTTGCACTTTTCTAGTTATTTTGTGTGTTTTGCTTATACAAATGGAAATTATAGGGGGGGGGGGTCAAGCCCCCCGTTTCCGACGGCCTAGCTTGTGTTACATGTGACATTGCCAGCTGCCATTAATAGTTTGCAAAATTGTGAAAAATAAATCAATGCTGTAGATTGCAAGTGGTAGTGCACTTTCTCCATTGGCATTATAGACATAATACACACAAAATTCCAAAAGACCAATTAACTTGGTAATCCCAAGTATTCCATCAGAAATCAGTCAGATGCAATTGTACCCACCCTCTGGTCGACCCTTGCCACTAGACGTTTCTGTACCTGACCATATCATGGTTTATGAACTCAACATTTTATGATTAAATTAGCTCTTCTACAATGATATTTTATGCTCAAGTAAATAGACAGTAGTACAGCAAGCTGGCTGGAATATGGTCAGAGGTTCACTCCTCAGTGGCACAACTCTTGAGGGCTGTGCCCGGCAAGAGCCAGGGGGTGTGCCTTGTTAAGAACAGGGAGCCAGGGGGTGTGCCTTGTTAAGGAAGGTCCCTGGGCTAACCTTTATGCAGTGTTTGGAAATTTTAATTTAAATAATTAATTTAAGTAATAAATTAAATTAATAATTAATTAATTAATTAATAATAATAATTATAAACAAATTAATAGTAAATAATAATTAATAATTATTAATTAATATTTAATTATTTATTTAATTAATATTTTTTTAGCTTAAAAGCTGACTCCCTGTACACACTCTGAAGAGTACGGCAAGGGGGCCCTTGACGGGGTGCACCGAGACTTCATCCTATCCATAATTAAGGCTCTGGGAAATGAGTACCCCATATGCCCCTAGTATCTAAATTTAGAGTGTGAATTTCAAGTTGTGAAATAAATGGAAAGTCCTATTTTTGCAGGGTATATCCTTGACCCCAAAAATAGATTGATGATGTGATCAGTTTTAACTTCTTAAAAACAATATCTATATAAATACTCTAAATCACTGAACTTTACCCAGAAATAGTTAAATACTTTGCATTCTATGGAATACAAGGCTATGTAATGGAATACAAGGTAATGTAATCTTCAAAAATTATGAAGGGCCTCAGAACTCCTCTCCCAACTAAAGAAACACATTAAAGGGGATGGCTTAGGGACAGACCATTAGAAAAGTGATGGGGGTGGGGGGTGTAGGACATTTCCAACCTGTACAATTATTTTTTCAAAATTGTTTTTGAAAAAACTAATTAACATCAATTAAGTTAATTAGGTTCAAAAGAAATTTTCCCTGACAAATTCTTGTTAAAACACGCTTAAAACCCTTTTTTTTGCACCAATATCTGCAAGATTTAGGTTTAGGAAATTTTTTCTCACACCATTACTTATATAAAAAGCGTTCCAAATTATTTTTTTTATTTTTCAAATTTGGGGGCCACCCTTACACTGGTGGCTCGGGGCAAATTGCCTCCTCTGCCCCTCCCCCTGATAGTAAACTTATAACAACAACTCAACTTATAATTTTCCCTATTGAAAAGTCTGTGCACGAATTTTTTTTTCAAACTTTTGGTGCACAAGTTTTTTTTTCTGTTCAATTTTTATTTTTGCTTCCCTCCCCCCCCCCCATCACTTTTCTAATGGTCCACCCCTTAGTCCATTACACCCTACTGTTAATGACAAACATGAGATTGATCATAAAGTTTGCCTCCACTATGTGTTCTTTTATGTCTTGTTGAAGTACTTGAATATCTAAATTCTTTACAGATATGATATTCATATAAGGTTTTACTCTATTATGTGTGTTTTTGTGACAGTAACTAAATTGTGTGATGTTCAATAATGTTTGTTACACATTTTAGCAAGCCTCATATACAGGATGTGCTTGTCTGTATCATGATTTGTTGCAGTGTACATTGTTTAAACAAATTTGCCCATGTTAATTGGTATGTTTGCCAGAATCATAATATTTTTTCACTGCAACATGGCATGCTCACATTCATAAGGTAATTGTGAGTGTGGTGGTGAAAATGCAAGCAATATTGTTCCACTATTCAGTTATAGCACTTTATTTTTTATAATTTATATCAATTATATGATAAAATATCATACGTCTGGCAGTTTAACTTTTTAAAACTGCTAATACTCAGTCTATTAGAATGCTGTCAATTAATGCACTAGCTGTGACCACATTGGCATGTATTATCCTGCTTAAATAATATCATCTTCATCAAGCCAAGTAATTATTTAACCGTAGCTTGCCAGCTTGAGTAAAATAGTCTAAATTGATTTCATTGTTAAATGAACAACCCAGTCACAACCATCACTCACTCAGTATGTTATATCCGTACAGATAAGACTTTAATACATTATAACTTTAACTATGTTTGAGAAAAATTCTGTCATAAAATCTTTTTTCAGATTAATCAGATAAAGAATAAGATACCTGGCATTTCAGAATATAAGTTCTACCAACCAAAAAGAATAAAAAGATCAAAAAACAACAATTGAAAATATTGAATATAAACTCCATTTAATTAATAATTAACTTAATTAAACTCCACTCCTTAGCTTGGCGCCATATTGAATTTCGCGGCCGCGCCGGTAAAGGCCTGGGGACCAGGTGCTCTACCGTATCTGAAATAGCCTTCACCTCTTTGTGTGAACCAGATCGAATTACTACAACACGTGATATATTCTAAACATGCTAATTGGTTGAAAATCTGGAACTTCCACTTGTCGCAAATTATATTCAGCAGAATTCAGCAGCAGAACATTCCACACGCTCCAATTACAGATTTAGGCAGCAAATAAAAAAATATAGACGGGTGTGACGGAAGCCGATATACAGTATAATACATCAATGGCATCAATCTGACTTAGCAACATTCGAGTAACCAAAAACGGAAAATTAAAAAAAAAAGAATTTATATCTCGAACTTCGTGCTTTTCGCATCTGACTGTATTCAATACTTTAATAGAGTATAGCCTCCAGCAGAAATTAATTATATATTGTAATAATTTACTCCAGATCCAGAACAATTTTACTCTTTTTTGGGAGTTGAAACGACCCCTGGAGTAAAATTAAGGAGTACAAATTACTCCATAATTTCTACTCCTAAAAGCGAGTTTAGTTTACTCCTCCAGCGGAGTTAAATTGACTCGTGATGGAGTAAATTGTAGAATGCGCGCAGAAGTGGAGTAGTTTTAACTCTATTTTGGGAGTAGATTTTACTCCACAATTTTTACTCTCCCGAGTTGAGTAGTTTTAACTCCTATGGTGGAGTTAAAATAACTCCTTGAAATTAACAGTGCATGCTATTACCTATACTAATCATACAGAGGGCAAAATTACTTACAGTAGTGTCAATAGAAGCGTTCCGAAAATCTTGACCAGTTCATTTCCTAACTTGAAAGAACACCTCTGAACAATTCCTTAAATTACGATTCATTGACCAAACAAATTTTATATTTTATATATTTTTGAGCAATCTGATTGGTCAATGAAACAGGAAGTTAGGAACGTTTTAAGGAAATTATCAAATTGTGGAGGAATTGTTCAGAGGAACTCCTCGAAATGAACTGGTCAACATTTTTCGGAACGCTTCTATAGGCACGACTGTGAATATGATTGGCTAATGAGGAGGGCATTTTTTCTTTTAAATTAATTCAGGGTAAAAAAGCGCGGGAAGTTTCTTGTTTTAAATGGCAATAAAAACAATGGCGTCTCGCTTTGTCGTGGATAATAATATTAATGTTACTGAAGAATTAAAAACTTCTAGTGAAAACTCGAAGACTAGAAAAAGTAACAATTTATTGGTTGGAGTATTAAAGAAATGGGCAGCATTAAAGAACATTGGGGAAGATATGGAGACATACGTGATACGAGGTTCAAGAACTTGGCAAGTTCACAATTTAATTAATAACTTACGAATAAACTTTGCCCTCTATGATTAACGCATAGTTCCTCGAAAAAATTAAGGTTTAATTTCAGTTGTGTTTTCAAAGTTTCACGAATTGCCCTCGTCGCGTTGTGAAACTTTGAAAACATGCGTGAAATTAAACCTTAATTTTACTCGGCCGCATACGACTACCTATAGAGTATAGTACAAATAATTCAATATTAATAAATTTTTTAGCCAAAAACAACAGATAATTACAAATAATCTTAGTTCATAAATGCATCCCTAATCAACAAAACAGTCATCAAAACATCAATGTCATTTGCAGTATTTAACAGTTTATATACTCTATTTAACAAGTTTAAGAACAATCTCAAAACAAGTTAATCAATTTCAAACAACCCCAAACAGGTCTGCAAATAATTATCTTACCGCTAGGATCGGATGAACAAATGTCTGGCCAAACCAAAAATTGGTCGAACATTTGTCAATTTTCCCGGACAATGGACAAAGTAAAATATTGTATTTTGGATATTTATAGCACGATGTTGTTTTTTTTGTTAGTCCGCACTGCAATGCATCTAACAATCAATCAACCTAATATATATCTACAAGTCCCAATGCATGGTTCAGGTTATAGACGTTATAGATAACTTTAATTTCCAATTCAATCTTACGGCTTAATGCAGCAAGAAATAATACTAGTGGTGAAGGGCTGTCTAACATTGCTTTCTTGTTGGTTTCATTAATAAAAAATGTGTTAAACAATTTTTTGAGATTTGGGATTTGACCAGCCTAAATCAGTCACATGTCAGTCATAAAAAGATTTGATCGGACAAAAGGTAAAACCTGGCCGGACAATGTCCGACAACCGGCATCAATTTCAAAAACAACATATTAACACAAAATATTTTAATTTATCTTGCCTGGAGCAGCATATTGTCATGCATACTCATATGATCTTCAAGTTCAGTGGCAATTTCAAACTCGGCATCGCAGACACAACATATATAACCAATACCAGTTGCTTCTCTTGCTTCCAATTCCTTACATACATCACATTGGTAGAATATACCATGTTCTTTGGCCTTGTGCTGATTTAAACTTTGAATATCAGGGAACTGTTGGTTGCATTTATCACACTCAAAATGATCACCACTCAGTATCGCATTAGCATGTCCTTGTCCTTGTGACTGCCTAATTTCTCTGCCACAAGTGTTGCACAACAAAAATCCATCTCTTGAATGTAATCTCCAGTGACGTTTGAGACTTTTTCGTTGTGTGAATGTTTTCTTGCAGATACGACACTCAAAACTCTGTTCAATCTTGTGTGCTGACATTTTATGTCGTTTTAACTTGCGTGATTCTGGAAATCTCTTGTTACAAACATCACATTCATAAGGTTTGTCTCCAGTGTGTGTTTTTTTGTGGGTAGCTAAGTGGTTCAATTGTGAAAACCCTTTCTTACAAACATCGCATTCATAAGGTTTGTCACTAGTGTGTGTTCTTTTATGTCGAGCTAAACCGCTGGGATCTGAAAATCTTTTTTTGCAAACATCACATTCATAAGGTTTGTCTCCAGTGTGAGTTCTTTTATGACCCACTAAGCGGCTCAACTGTGAAAATCTTTTGTTGCAAACATCACAATCGTAAGGTTTGTCTCCAGTGTGTGTTCTTTTATGAACCGCCAAGTCGCTAGACCGTAAAAATCTTTTGTTGCAAACATCACATTCACAAGGTTTGACTCCAGTATGTGTTCTTTTATGAACCACTAAGTGGCTCGAATCTGAAAATTTTTTGTTGCAAACATCACATTCATAAGGTTTGTCTCCTGTGTGTGATCTTTTATGTCGGACTAAACTGCTCGAATCTAAAAATTTTTTGTTGCAAACATCGCATTCATAAGGTTTGTCTCCCGTGTGTGTTCTTTTATGTCGGACTAAACTGCTCGAAACTGAAAATTTTTTGTTGCAAACATCACATTCATAAGGTTTGTCTCCCGTGTGTGTTCTTTTATGAAGCGTTAAGTGGCTCGAACGTGAAAACCTTTTGTTGCAAACATCACATTCATAACGTTTGTCTCCAGTGTGTGTTCTTTTATGAACCACTAAATGGCTCGATGTGAAAATATTTTGTTGCAAACATCACATTCATAAGGTTTGTCTCCAGTGTGTGTTCTTTTATGTCGTGCTAAATTACTACAATCTGAAAATCTTTTGTTGCAAACATCACATTCATAAGGTTTGTCTCCAGTGTGTGTTATTTTATGTCGAGTTAAAGTACTCGGATCTGAAAATCTTTTGTTGCAAACATCGCATTCATAAGGTCTGTATCCAGTGTGTGTTCTTTTATGAACCGTTAAGCAGCTCGACCGTGAAAATCTTTTGTTGCAAACATCGCGTTCATAATGTTTGTCACCAGTGTGTGTTCTTTTGTGTTGCACCAAATTTCTTTTCTTTGAAAATATCTTGTTACAATACTCGCATTTCATAGACATGATTTGAGCTTTTGATTTTTCTCCGTACGGTAACACGTGCGATCAAATTTCGATAAAAATATAACCCAACTGTTCCCTCGAGTCTTTCTTTATTGAATCTTTAAACTGCTTCGGTTCTTACAGAAATTCTGATCATAAAAACGAGAATATTTAGAGACACAGTTTGCAATCAACACCAATATGAAAATATGGCGCCCAAAAAGAATTCATCATTTCATTGTCGTGTTTCCACTTTACAAAAAAAATTTGATTTCGCAACAGATAGGATAAATGCAAACATGAGCAAAAAACTGGGGCTGTTGGAGGATGAAACTGATCCAACTTTTTTCTGCCATTTTTTTTTGTTTTATCATTTACACTGCATGAAAAGCCAAGTATTCAGATGTGAATACGTGCGAATATCAATTTGAATATGATGAATATTCACACGTATTCACTGATATTCACTGCGAATATGCGGAATATCCTCGGAATATTAGTAGTATTCAGATGTGAATACCTTAGAATAAAACGCACCTCATATTCTCACCTAGAATACGTTTGAATATTGTGTGAATATTTTTGAAGGCATAGTATTCACACTTGCGTACATTATTAAGTGATTTTGTGTCGATATTAAATAATCAAGATATTATTTTGATCAAATATGTGTAGTGATTGTGATTATATAGCTAAGTTTTGCTAAACTGCGCATCAGAGTACTTGCTTCCTAGTGATTCTGCAATTGTCTGGCAGTTATCGAGAATTGGGATTCTACTTGGTTGGTTGACTAAACGATTGTTTGTTGACTCGACGATATTTTGGTTTTTTAATACTTTCTATGTCATCATGTCATGCTAACTTATATCACGGTTAATAGAAGGAGGAATGGAAATTTCAAATTTTCGTAATGGCTAATTTCCTTCACGACATTTTGGCGACATTATTAGCGATATAAAATTGCGGCGCGCAAATTGTAAAATTGGTAATAATCAGTTTATTAAATATCACTCACCTGCAAATTCTGCAAACAAGAATTTGTCCCACTGTTTGAAAGGGGGAAAGCATTGTTTTACAAAATAATATAACGATATTGAATGGAGCTATATGTGGTGGAATTGCAGATTGCCTTAAATACAAATATATAAACCCTGGAATTGTTGAAATTTCGTCAAATATCAAAACATGATGGCTGATGACAGCATGTTGTCAGCAGCTCACAGCTGGTATGTTGATATACAAAATATTAATAATTGACCAAAAGGCTGGCACCATAGAATAGGAAATAGAAGGGCAACTCGAGTGTGAAATTTTAAATTTTGCATGTTGACTTTGATCACCAGTATTCTGGGCTGAGTATTAAAACACTAAACTGTCATCAAATTGAGAGGTTATGCATGCTTTGCCCACTACTATATGTTGCCTTCATTTCCTATTCTATGATGGTACTAATCATAAATTCTACTAAATTGTACTAAGTGGCGGCAGCTGATTATTTACTGCTCAGGGGGCTCGATGAGGAACTGCAGAAAATTTAAATGGAATTCTCAAAGCCCCCCCCCCCTTTCCGTCCCCACACCTAAGCAAAAAAAAATTCTGAGACCCTCTCCAAACTGTTAGTGAAGCATTTCATTCCTACAGTCAAACCGGGTGTTCTCTTGCGTGCAACATTGCAATATTTTGTCCCGCAATATTGCAATTTTGATAAGCAGGTTGCATGATCTGAGAAATTGCTGTGCTGAGTGGTAATATATTACAACCTGAAATAAACAAGCAGAAACTCGATGTTTGGAGCGAAGGCCCTTGCTTAGTTACTACTAGGGCCCTTGCTTGAAACATCCAGTTTCTGCTTGTTTATTTTAGGTAGTAATATGACTACTCAGCACAGCAATTTCACATTGGTACTACCCACACTAGTACAGACAGTTTTAGGTTGCTCTGAGCAATTTGCAACCGACGCAAACAAATTGCAAGTTGAAATTCGCAAAAGATTTGTAAACAAAGCCTCTGATTGGATTATAAGAAAGATGGAAGCCAAAAAAATAGTCCGAGCAACTGGATTAGTGCTTGCAATTTGTTTATGTCGTTTGCAAATTCCTCAGAGCAATCTGCCTATCAAAATTGCAATATAGAACAGTAATGTATGCTATAAATATTTTTATTATTTTAGTATTATTAATATTGCAATGTTGCTTGCAAGAGAACATCCAGTTTTACTGTAACATTTTTAAAAACATATCACACAGAGGCTTCAGTGTGATCATAGTCTCTCAAGATATGATAGTTGGGAATCCTGGCAAACTTCAAAGCCAGAAATTGAAAAAAGAAGACCTTTGTTTGATGATGAACTGTACCTAGCTCACCGTGCACAAATCCTTTGTCTCAACTTCATGAAATATTATTATTCATCATGGTTTGAATGATAGCATTCTCCCTCATGAGTAAAATTGTCTGGCGTTAGACAGAGTAGAATAATAAAGTAGGGTGCATCTGGGTGCATGCATTGCCATTTAAGGGGTCTTGATTATTAGCTACTGTATTGCATGTAAGCACCACCTATAAATTCAAGTTTCACTCTCTTTTATGCTAATACCTACATAAACTGATTCATTTGCAAATAATTAGAGCTGCAATGATGTTTCATGTATACTATACAACATCAGTAGCATAATTTGAACATTGACATTTTAAGTATTCATTAATGGCTAGTGAACTGATTGCCAAAAGATGTAAAAATATCTTAAAAATCAGCTGCCCAAAGATGAAAAATCTTAACTGCTTAGAAGTCTGCCCCCGACTGTGTTATGTTATATAATATTTAGTGTCCCTAACCTATACTGCCTGAATGTGTTTGTTAAGTTATACAGTATATGCGTTCCTTAACCTGTACGTACTGTGCCAGCTAGCTTGCATTTCCCTGACTGTCATATTTTATCATACTGTACAGTAGTTTTCAAACACAACGCACAATAGTGCGAGGCCAACGCTTTTATGGTTGGACTTAACACAACTTTTTTGTATTTTATTAATATAAATAGTAATTTGTAAAACTTATTTAGTTATTTATACAGGAAATAGTGCTACACAATATGATTCCATATAACAAGAACAAAACAAATCCTGTTTTTGCATCATGTTTACCCCATGGTTAAGTCAAAGCCTGAATATAGGTTGAGTTGGGTAAACCAATTAATAAATAGGATTAGCTGAAATAAATCAACCAGATGATCAGATTGTGAACATCATGCATTAATTGTTGCAATATACACATAAATATTGGTTTCGATTAAGAAACTTACTTTGACTTTGAGTCAATTAAAAATAATCTAATCCATTCTCTAATTCTACTTCAGTAGTAATATAGGGGCCGTTCGGCCCTTATTTTTGGGGCGGCGCGGGGCGGCGCGGGGCGGCGCGGGGCGGCGCGGGGCGGCGCGGGGCGGCGCATCATCATTAGCATACGTCATAATTACATGCAATGACGTCACGCGGGCAGGTTTAAACAAGATCGGGCAAAACTTGCTGACTAGGCATTTTTTAGCGTCTCTCCACGTGTATGATACAATGGAGAGATTAATGTTGGCTTACTATGATTGGTTGTTTGATTTAATGAGTGTTTGTATAAAAAATCGACAAGCGTCTTGTAACAAGCATCGTCTATATTTTGACAACGTTCTTACTGGAGGTCTTTTGGCAAAAAATTTGCTGACTACGCATTTTTTAGCGTCCCTCCACGTTTATGATACAATGGAGGGATTAATGTTGGCTAACTATGATTGGTTGTTTGATTGAACGAGCGTCTGTATAAAATCGACAAGCGTCTTGTAACAAGCATAGTTTTGCATTAGTTCTACATCAGTCATG